ACCACAAGTTGACGTTACGTTACCGCTGTGTTATCTTATCAAGTACGGTAAGTTTCAGATCGGCTTTGAGATGATTTGTACTAACGCTAGCCTATCAAATGCGATTAATTGTTGTAACAATGGTGTGGTTGAATACTTAAAATGATGATAATAAGTTATTATTGTGGTTATTTATCGTTGTATTGCAAACGCACTTTTTGCTGTTGTCACACAATCATATGACTATTATTAATTATCTTTCTATTGATTGTTATTGCCATATCAAAATTACTGCTATTCATGTCGTTGTTGCTGTAATATTCTTATTGCTTTCCTTCACCGGTTTTCAACTACAGCTGATTGACTGAAATGCACTGATTTGAATGTTTTCGATTTTTTCTTCTCCCCATTGAATTCAGCCGAATGAAATTGTTCAAACGATATCATGTAAACAATTCAAGCTGATGTTCCAAAGAATGAGATGATCTGTCGGAAGTTTTTTTTAATGAATGAGTAATATTGTTTATATTTCCAGTGTTTTAGTCACAATTGGATCGTGTTTAGTTATGAAGGGTCCATTGCTAGTGTGCAATTACTAGTTCTGCGCCACCGCACCAGACCAGGAATGGCCAGGTCTTGGTGTGGCAGGGTAATTCTTGGCTTAACTCGAGCTGGCAAGTCTTGTTACGCCCGGTGCACGGAGACCGGCACCTTGCACAGTGCGCATAAAATTTAGAGGCAGTCAACAAAACAAACACGAACCTGCCTTTGCACTTGCTGCTATTCAATGATTCATCTGTTGCTCAATATAGCCGAAACCAGTTTTGATGTTATTTGCACATCCAACAGATTGAATCCCCTAAAAAATCACCAGTATATATACTCATTATTTGGTAAGTGCACAATCAGTAAGGTAACCATCATTTGCGGTTCGTTTCGCATCGCAGTCCGTCGTCTGTCTCGTATTCTTTCGTAGAGATTCGTAATTCAGACAACATTAGTTGTACTTTACTGAGTTGTCGTCTCTTTGAAAGAGTATTCCCATTTTTTGAGTAGTGATCTTTTGGTTGAGTTTATTCAATAATAATAATAATCCATTCGGCAGTTTCAATCGCAACTTAGCAATGGCAATATCGCTTGTGTAAAGTTTCAACATTTGTAACTGATGTCGTTTTTCAGCGTTATTTCATATTAACTTATGATTGAGTAATTGATTCTCTCGCAGTGTGTTGACATTCTCGATGAATTAATATTTTAATGCATTCGCGAAGAAGATATTATTAACAATCTATGATATTCTATCAATGATAAATATTGTTGGCCGTTTGATGATTGATGTTTCGAATGGTGTTCGTTAGCGATGTAATAGATTGTCTGTTGGAATATTACTGATGATGTGTTCCGTGAGCGTGATCAAACGTTGATGAGTACGGTAAACGCGATTGAGTGCATAATAATGGTTCGGTGAATAGTTTCAGTAGTTATTTCAAATTTTGCTTCACCAAACAAGCAATAGTCAAAATGCTCTTCCAATTGACGCTTTTTGCAATGTTTGCGTTCGCGTTATCTAACGACGTTGAAGACGCTGTTCACGAAGTTACCTCGACAAAGGTTCGCCTTTCTAATTTATCGCATTTCAGCTGTTTTCGTTTTCGTATTTTATGTAATTGTTGTTGTCAACTTCAATACTGAAATTTATTTCCGACTTCGTGGAAAATATTCTCATTCTAAAAAACACTAAAATTTTTCTGTGATTTTTGTTTTCGGTTCACATAAAATACGTTATGAAGAAATTCACCGAATTTTGGAATATTTTGCCGAAACCATTGCTTTCTATTGCCACCACGTGTTTTTGTATCGTACAAAGTTTTGTTAAGGATGGTGCCACATGGTGTCCAGTTGCATTGGTTGGAACGCAGTGCCCTTCATCGAGCATTTTCCATTATTATAAATGCTGTGGAACGGCCAATAAGGATTGCTGCTTCAATCTTCAGGTAACGCGATCACTTCTGAGTTCATTCACTGCTCCTGCAGTGTTGAGCTGAATTAATGTTCAGTATTGAATTTGCTACCGATTTTTGCCAGCATTGCTCCCTTGTTAGAAATTTTATCAACTTTTCAACTTTATCAGAAATTTTATCCACAATACAGTTGTTGTTAGAAATTATGCGACCAACTTTTTGGTGCTTGACGACATTAGAATCGTAGTGTAACGCTGAAACAACTAGAATTGAGAAA